CATATATAATGTACTGTATAATATTTAATTCCAGTTGACTACCACAGGCACTGGCATTGCTATCTGTGATGCAAGACAAAAAAAGTCAGAAAGTCGAATTTTAAGATATTTGTGTGTCAAAGAGTGGGGGAAGCATTTTTTCATTGTTCTCTTATTGTAGAGAATGTGCAGAGTGGATTTATTTCTGTGGTGTTTATAGCAAAACACAAATGGCAACTATGCAATTACTGCACTTCATATTTAAAAAAAAAAATTATAATAAAACATTTTAGATGCAAACTCAAACTTTATAGAAAACGACACAACAAACTCAGAAATCTATAACCAAACTACACAATTCTCTACATGCTAATTTAATATTTGACTGTACAGCTCTTATTCAGTAATTTGTAGGTGTTCCTATAATCTACATTTTTGCAGAAAATAATTTATACTGACACCTCTCTTTTTGTTTTCAACAGGCTATTGTTATTTAAAAATATTTATGTTAGGTTTGAAGGTAAACCATTACACACACTAATTATTCTGGATTGGCACAACACATTGGGCTGCAGACCCAAGGAATACAGCACAAACCTCACAATTTGGACCGGTATAACAAGGAGGGTTAGTGGACACTTTATGCTTCATGAAACATGTTTAAAGTACACTTATTAAATGTGAAATAATAAAATGTAAAAATATATGAAGACAATTAAGACATTTCATCTCCTCAAAACAAGGGTTTTGAAGTCAATCATTAGTCTTGATTAAGATTTTGTTAATACTCCCTAAAAAATACTCATGCTTATAAGTATTGTGACATCCTGTTGTCATAAAGGGTTCTTTAAAATAGGCAGGTCCAGGCCAACAAAACACACCAGAGGCACAGTTATGTTGTGTAAAAAAGCACCAGTGTGCCCTTATTTGCAGTGAAGCGAAAATCAAACTAATACACCACAGCAAAACAAAAACCTAAGCTCTTCTTGAGTTACTGACTAAACTTCTTCTCAAAGTCCCTAACTAGCCTAGCAGCTAATTTACCCACCTCTGAACAAACAATTCACAAAACAAAACAGATTTTAAGTTAGATACTGCAGAGAACTAATCTTTGTAAATGGTGGGTTCATTGTAATAAACTTCAATTGCCCTTAAGATGCTACTTATTATTGCAAGGTTGCAGAGCTGGCACCAAACCACCAATCCAGTTTACATTTTTTAATGTTACATTACATTCTTAAGAGAATAGGTTTTTGGAACTTTTTCTCAAAGATAATAGTAACATTACTAACCATCCAAACTTTATTTTGAGATTGTGTACTGCATTACTGAGTAGCAATTTAATAAAAAGCATTGCAAACATATGCTTTTTGTAACTAAAGAATTCATAACAAACTAATAAAACTATTTCAGACTACATAGCAAATGAAACTTGGATCCCAACACAAAGAACAGCCTGAAGAAACTGCTTTCAATCATTTTAGCACAGACATCCATCATTATGGAACCATCTCACATAATCTCATTAGATTTTTACATTTCTGTCATGGTTTTGTAGTTTTAAATGTTTAGCAATGAGAACAAGATGTTGCAATTTTGGCATTTCTTTTTCTCATATAAGAAACTCCCAATACTGTATTCAATCACACAAAAATAAGTGCCCCACCATCTACTAAAAAATAATTACATTTTAAGGGGGCGCAAACAGGTCACTAAAGTTAAAAATAACTAAAGATTTAATATTGATATTAATTTGGATATTAGCTGAATTAATGTTATACTGATGTTATTTAAAGTGGAATGTGACAGAATTAAAAAAAATGTTTATTCAAGGCAGAAACATTTAGTAGTTACAGCATTTATAAAGTTGTTATATTGATAGGGTGATTTGGGTATACATTTATGGAATGAATATCACAGAAGCTAAGACCCAATAATTATGACCTTTAAGCATTTTCTTTATTGTATATGCATAATACACATGACATACTGTAAACATGAAACTCTTTATGTTTAACTTTCCATTGTGAGTTTTTACAAAGCCTTTATACAATGTTGTTATAGTTTGTTGAACAATTGGTACATATTAGATCACAGATATCATAAAAACTAGATATTCATTAAAATAACCTGCAAATCTAAGAAAGAGGTTTTAATTAAAAAGCAATGTTGTCCATTATTTAAATACATTAATTCTGAACTATTCTGGGTAATAAGCTGCATGTTATATCACTACAACTATCTAAGATACAAGGTCATGGTTTATAGCAGGGATACTAAATTGCCTGAGATGTGGATGTGGATGTGTACACCACATATTGTAGTTAAAAAATGAACAAGTAGTAGGTTTATTCCATGCTGAAGAGAAGAAAGAAAACACGTGTTTAGCTTTGTTTACACCTGAAGAAGGCTCCACAGCCAAAACATTGCGTTTTCTTCTCTTTTCAGCATGGAATAAACCTATTATTCTTCAATGCATCTTCAATGCATTTACTTTTATATCTTGATCTTTGTAGAAATTTGAGATAGCATAGAGTAGTGGATAAGCATTTGTACACACAAATAGACACTGAAGTCCCTGTAGCACATACAGTACTGTTGTTGTACTCTTGAACAGCCTATTTTGCACAGAATGCTCCAGTCCACCAAGCTGTATAAGTGAGAGTCAGCATATGTGGGGGTAATCCTGTGTTAGACAGGCATCTTATCCATAGAATAAGTTATTGCGGTCTGCTATAGATTTTACTGTAAGCTACATTTAAATATGCTGAATGAATTAAGTGTTAGAAATACGATAACTTCCTGAGTGCAACAGTTTCAAAAATTAATATTTGGCATTTTTCTTCTCTTTTATGATTTTGGCAGATAATTTCAAATGGGCAGTTAATTATAGCCAGACCTGTGCCTGATTGTGGGGCTAGTTCAAGCTACGGGGATTGAAATAGAAATTAATTTCTATACGTGTTTTTTCCAAAATTGTTCCTAAATCCAAGTGACACATTTAGACAATGTTAATACTTTGGGAAATGTTGGATACTACATAACTATATTAAATAATGTTAATAAACATACATTAATGGTATAACTTAGTGTGGAGCTGTGAAGAGCCAGGAGGTCATCATTAGTGATTCTCTGTAAACAAAGTGAAGAAACAGGGAAATGTAGTTCCCAAAGACATTGTAGTCAGCTGACCTGATTATGAGAAGGAAAGGTGGCCACCAAGAACTTAAACAGGAAAAGAAATACAGCACAGGTTGTATGAAATTACTTTTCCTTCATGGTCAGAGATAGCCAAAGACCGCCAAGGCCTGTTAGTACAGAAACAGGCTGAAAGGGATTGAGGACGTTGGAAACTGCCTGCAAGGTGGCCAAAGCAAGAAAGGAAAGGAAAAAGTGAGAGGGAGAGAAAAGATTGGGCTGGAATCATAGGAAGGCCCAGTTAGCCAGGATCTGGGAAATGTAAGTCTGGTGGACAGGAGTACTAGAGGTCCTGGTCAGCCATCAGGATGCTGACAATGAATAACAATAAAATGAACTGAAAGAGAAACAAAAGGGAAATATTCTGAGGAGTGAGGAAAACTCTAGCAACTGAGGGCTAGAGAGAGAAATCAAGCAAATAGCCAACAGCAGGAAAGTGAAAAAGTGATAAAAAGACAAAAGCTTTTTGTTTAATGGCAAAAAAATGAGCTAATCCAGATTTATTTAGGAAGGGTGTTCTGAAATTTAGTCAGAGATTGGAAAGAGTTAGGCTTTTAGTTACTTTTATTCTGAAGAGAGAATCAGTGATTCTGTAAATTAAATAATAAAAAAACTACTTTTTGTAAGTTACACCTTCCTATGCAAACATTTGCAAATAAGAATAACTTTAGAATACCTGTTGCAAATAGTAATTCAATTATGTCACTCATAATAGATCAGTTTTGCTTCAAACCTAAACAGTGCTCTTCTGCAGTGATTGTAAATGTTTCTAGATAAACAAACTTTTCATTATCCTGTAATTTTCCTTCATGTGAACCTGTTTTGCCCTAAAAGTATTCTGTTAGTAAGTGAAATATAAAGCAGACTGAAACTTAAGTAAAATATATATTTTAGATGAAAGCAATTTACAATTTAAATGATATTATATTTTGACATATATAAGTCTTATAAACAGCTACTAGCACACATTAAAGAAAAAAAATAATGCTGAGAAATTTGATTAATGTGCAACAAGAAGGATATCTTCAAGTTCAGGTTGGCTGTTTGAGGTAAACAAAACTGAAAGTAAATGTCAGGAATGTGGCAACTTTTATATAAAAGAGGCCTCATCACACTCTAAACCAAGATTTTCCAGATTCAAATTTACATGAAGTGTTCATTATTCTGAATAAGACCAAACCAATTCACAACAATATTTTACATTGGTCTTTATGCACCTAAAATATGTAAGTTAAAACACTATTACATGTACAATATGTTCCAATTCCAAAACTTGTCACATATGGAGAAAATAAGGCAAAATGAGGTTTCATAACCACGCCTCTACAGAAAAATCCTTGAAAGAAAGACAACCCCCCTCTGCTTTCATACAAGAAGAATGGCAATTCATTATCTCTAACTAAACTAAATTTAAACTACGCCAAGAGAAGTAATCTGTCTCAAGCAATTACCATCTTTATCTTCTGAATGGATGTCTGACAGGAAAATGGGTATGTTAGCAAGTAATTATCACCAGTGCGTTCTACCAGGAGCGTCAAATTCTCCCCAAAGAATTATCTGCTTATCACATCAACAATTTATTAATTAATTTTGTAAGGAAAAGGGAGACAGATGGTAAAAATGTGTCAAGCTGTTGGGAAAACAGTAAAAACTGAATATCAGGCATTAGATCAGAATTCATTATTGACAGATGAGTAAATGCCCATCAGCAGGTGTAAGTTTTTATTGATTGCTTTAAGCACTAGCTTATCAAAGTAGTGGAAAAGGAAAAAATTATATTAAAGTGCTGTCAGAAAATGGAAAATGAGCAGATAAATACCTACCTTTTTTTCTGCTAAAAGCACGGTTCATGTTGAACACCGTTATGCCTAAGCTTCAAGTCTCTTTGAACTTCTTTAGTCACCTACAGAAAAAAGATGATCACAGACTTAAAAACTGACAATGTAACAGTGCTGTACAAAGAAGATTTTTTTCTTTTAGAAAATTAACATAGTAGTAGTACTGATAAGTTGCATATTGATTATACACCTTCGTACTGGATCTAATTACCTGAGTAACTAGCCTGAGTTAGTACCTGACACCCTGATACTGTATATTTTTATGAAAATCTTTATTAAAATGTTTGAGAGCAGTATCTACCTGTAGGTGTATCTTGCGATTCTGTTTCATCAATGATACTATAAAATAGAGTATAAGGCAAAATTTTAACCAATGTAGAAGAATAAAATCATTACATTGCAAGTATGGAACGAGTGTACTTTGGGTACACTAAGCAGTGTGGTCCTGTAATGGTGACTTGTCATCGAAACTTAATTTAAATGAACTATTGAAGAGCTTTATGAGTTCCTTTACAATTTTAATTAGTATGAATTAATTTGACATATAAAAAAAGACTTTAAACTGCATAATCTTGATAAGAGGTTACAATATAGTAATTACTGATATTTTCATGAATTAATAAAAATGTGCAATGTAAAATACAATCAAATAAAATTAATTTCAAAACTAGCAGACTTCACTGTTTTTCCCTATAATAATGTTAACACTTTTTTGATTAACATAAAGGTCTTTATTTAATAGTTTATAATATTAAAAGAACAAAGCTGTTTTTGAGACCTGTAAAGTTTTCATTTTACCTTGCATAATTTCCAAATCCATAATTATCCAACAAAATAACTTTTATTAAATTATCTTTATCCTGTCATATTGCTTGGAAAACAAAAATGTCTATTCTCACAGGTTTCCAGTGTTCATAAAAATACTACCTGTTCCTTCTATAGATGCAAAAATTGTTACCATCAGTACTCGTCATTCAACAAAAAACTTTCTAATATAACAATATTCTGAAAATGGAAATGACCCCAATTAATAGTTACTCAAATCTATAGTACAAAAACCTCCATACACAGACAAAATGCAGATTTTATTTGAAAATATAACAATACTTAATTTCAAAAGCCATTTTAAAAATAAGGCTAAATAATCACAGTCATATTAATTAACAGCTGCTTTAGGAATTATATAAGCATTCAAAAGTGATTATCAAATAACCAAAAATAAGTTACACAGATGTTGTGCTTTACCATCCATTTCATTTTAATATTTATCTATTAACTATGGCCATCCTTTTTTAAAATGTAACTTTACCACAAATGCCTGTGGTTCAATACGCACCTAGATACAAGAGATGTTCAAGTTCAGTTAAGAGACGGGACAAAAAACATTTTAAAATTTTTAAATGTGAATGACAAAAGTGTAAAGATTACTTTTAAAATTTAAGTGATATTAAAGTGATTTTGTCATAATATTATCCCTTAAAAAGGCTTGCAAAGATAACAGAGCATTTAACTTCAGTATTTATTAAGAAATGCACGTTTCTTAGAAAACATGTCTGCTTGTTTTTCTTATCCAGTAAGTTATCAGAATGGTCTGTGCTGCAGTTCTCAAATGCACAATCTTCTTGATGCTGGCTGAAATGGGTTATAGTTGGTGATATGACAGGGCTTTTCAGGAGCAAACATAATACCAAGTAAATCAGCTCTCTGAGAAAACAACTTAAAATGGAATACCCCTCTAAACACTTCCCCTAATAGTTAACAGGAGGGTAACCCAGTTTCCAGAACATGTGCAGTATAGGTTTCACAGACCATTGCTTCTTATACTTATCACAGAATACAATTTAGCATACACTTGTTTGCTATCTATTTGCTCATATAATGTTAGTAATTAGTTGCTTATTTCAAAATAGGGAATTACATTTCCTCTGCTCAACCCAAGATTTTGACACCCTGTAAAGTGTGTGCTCCTGTACCTCAAGAGCAGGAATCCAATCTTCTAAAATACGTGTTGTGCTGGTCTATTTGGCAAAATGACAGATTTATCCTAAGTGAGGAACATCTACAGTATATTACATAATAGGTTTTGTTAACCAGCTAAAGCAAGGGTTCAAGGACCACACTCTTGAGCTAAATTAAACATTAAATATTCTTCAAAATCTTTTCTGTTCCTAAGCATTCTTATATTTAACTTTTTCTAAATCAATCAACAATGCCTAATATCTCCATCCACCAAGATGTTTTGCAACATGAAGTTTATATGGTGAAAATTCATTTAGAGGTGTGGTTTAGTGAACATTTTTATCAAAGTTTGATTTTTGTTTTATACCAGATTTCTCCCTTAGGTAGCTGTTCCAGAATATTCAATATGTATTCCATTTGAAAGGTAGAGAGGATATACTTGATGATTCATTTTAAACTGGCAACTTTTACTCCCCAAAGCACACTTAATATTGTTTTTCTCAATTTGGAATTACCAAATTGGAATAGCCAAATGTGTGTGTTTCATGTCTCAGCGTTCAGCTACAATGCCTGTGACCACACACAGGGGAGAACTGTAGGCAGACTCCTCAGACCAGCCCAACTTTCAGACACTTGCTTGTTAAACACCATAGGCAACACAGCCCCATACTGGAGGTTAGGTACTGATTTGTGGAGAGTTGGGCCCCACACTGCAAGCTCCCAGAAGTTTACAGAAGTCTTTGTGACAGTAAGAGCCAAGAGCGCTCTGCTCGGTAATGGGCATCACCACTTCAAGTACCAATAAACACCACATGTGAAGTTCTCCAGAGACTCACTTTTATCTTACAGTATAGACATATAACTGGAAAAATACAAAGAGAAAATATCTTCCAGTTATTTAGACATTTTCTGAAGAATTTATTATATTGTTTAATTTTAACAAGCTGTCTTTCTTGGAAAGAAAAGATGTTCATTACCCTAGCAGACCAGTTCATTGAGAAAGGTTACAGAAGCACAAATGAAACATTATCAAATATACTGTACTGTAGTTTAGCGTTCTTATCAATCTTCAGCCTAGAGAAATTCTTAGAAAATCGAATTATAACAATACATTTAGAGCATTTACCATCACTAGCATAATGGGAAAGGCACAAACAATATTTCAGTGAGAAGTTGGTGACATAAATAAAAGAACATTTTTAATTAAAAAAAGCATTTTCTAAACAACAACTCGAAAGCATTGTGGTACTTTTGGTGTGAAAGAAAACTCTGACAGCATGACTTAAAAAAATGTGATGTTTGGACATTTTTTGAATTATGCGGTTCTGCCATTGGGCAATAAGGCACAACTCCATTAGGGCATCACTAGTAGAAAAGTTACAGAAAACGTGTTTAAAAGGAAAATATTTAAATAGCATTCTGTCCCACGGTCCAACAGGTTACATGAAGTGTACTTTCAAAAGTAATTTATTTCAATTGCATGCTCTAAGTATGATAGTCTTTAATTGTTTCTAATGATTCCATACATATTAGCATAGCATGCAAATTACACAATATAAACATATTTTGCAATTGTAGGTGTACAATTGCTGTGTACAAATGTGTACAAAGTTATGTTGTGCACAAATCCTGACTGTGCAGTACCATGGTTCCACAAACCTTCACATACAGTACAGTATAACTCACTCCACACTCTTACTATAAAAGATTCAGGTTTTTTTTGCTTTGTTAAACAAAATAAAAATAAAAACTAGCTCACTTGAGCCCTCCCTAAACATTCAACCTACTGTCTAATGCTCTGGGACACTGAAACATGTTTACCATATTCAAATCTTTCTAATCCAAGGTTGCTAACTTCCATCCCTGTGGTTTACCTGACCCCTCAAGCTTTCTGGTCTAATGATCCCAAGTATAAAAAATAAAACCCTGCCATTTACAACAAACTCCACTTTGAATTCTGCATACCAAAAGTATTGAAACACTCCACACCAGCTGAAACTTTTTTCATATTTATACAGCACCAGTCAGGACTTGATTTGTATGGCCTCTAGTGGCAGACACTATGGTATTACATGCCTCTGACCCATTCACTCTGCCACAATGTTTAAAACATACAGATATATGAGCCAGAACTGCTAAATGGTGCTGCACTGCACACAATCCTCTCAAAGTATGACAAGATTAAAAAACGTAATATCATTACACATAATAATAATTACAGCTTTAGGTGAATAGGAAGTGTCTCTCAGAGTTTAAAGTTTGTGACACCAGGCAGAGGAAACACTTCAAGCTTCAAAGCAGAGAGGATGTTTGTTGAGATGTGAGGGGTTCCCTGGTCAAAAATAATTGTAAAGCTTACCTTGGTATACCAAGGTAATTAAGTTTTGAGTTATTGATTGTCAATGAGCAGTACAGAAACAAATCATATAAGATCACATTAAGAGGACAAAGAAAGAACAAGAATAAGCAGGGAAGCAAAAGACAGACTGGAAAGAAAAGGAGGTCAGACCACATGAGAGGAGTGGGAACTGGAAGCTTGCGCCAGGTGGGAGCCCCTTGGTCACGATCATCCAAATAAAACCTGATTGGAATTAAGTATTTGAACCTAGATAGAGAGAGCCTGCTATAATGTTTTTAGGGAACTTGAGTTTCCTGGGCAAAAGATACAGTGCCTATAGAAAATCTACACCGCCTTGGACTTTTTTACATTTTATTGTGTTACAGCATGGAACCATAATTTATTTAACTGAGAATTTTTGCCACTCATCATTACAAAGTAGGCTATAATGTCAAAGTGAAAACAAAATCTTGTAATTTTGCTAAATTAAAAATAAAAAAAGAAAATAATTAAATTAATAAGTATTCAACCCCCTAGAGTTACTCTATTACTGTTCATACTAAAGCTGTGCCTGAGAACAAAGAATTCACGTGCCTTTAATTATACCAACTTCTCGGATGTATTCTAGAGAAATCACTTAGAGGTTGGGGATTTATGATTATTTTATTGACTATACCACACAGTCAATTCCTTGTTTTCATCATTTTTGTAAACCCCCCATTTGTAACAGTAACTTATGTAATATGCATAATAGTTTTGACGAAACCT